TAAAGACACAATGCAGCCATATGTACTTCTGGCTACATAATTTGCAATCTCCAGAAATGTATATAGGGCTACGTATTCTACGCTTAGAATGAGCCTATGTCGCAACATACACATTATTCAGTGATGTGACACTAAGGCTTTTGCCTCAATAAACTACTAATTTGCTGCTCATTTATACTTAGTAGGGTGGTAAAGTTTAGGTCTTTGTTAGAATGAGGGATGTAGAAAATGATCATGCAGAATATTTACTTAATCAGTACAAACAGCTATTTAAAATGCATCTCCGATGATTGTGTATGTGAAGTTTCAGCTTAAAACACCACACAGATGTTTTATAACTCTCTGAAACTGACCCTTTTACACTTTGATCCTAATTGTGCCATTTTGGTTACTGTCGCTTTAAATTCAAATGAGATTTCAGAAGAGGGTGGAGCTATAAACACATGTGTCAGCATAGCATCAGATTCAAAACTCTAATGACATACAGCTGCTTTTCACTCAGGGCTGTTTATGCTAATGAGGGAGACATGGTCACTAGTGGGCGGGGCTTTTCCCCCTCTGATGACATGTACAGAGGGAGAATGTCAATCAAAGTGTTTCTTCAGACAGTATGATTGCTGAAAATTAGAGTTAATTGATGTTCACCATTAGAGGCTGGCTATATTCCCGCACCGTTGTCACACAATTGTTCACAAGTGATTTTTTCACATAATGTCCCTTTTAAAGGAGAGTAAATTAACTTCCAATTCAAGGAAAAACTTTCTCCATAATACAAAATCATGTAGCACAGGTGAACCGGTGTTGATGACTTGTGTTATTTTGAGGTTAGACGTAATGAACGCTGACAGATGAAAGGTCACTAGTTGACTCGCACACCTGTAGCAGTAATGAAAAAACGGCCCGTTGCCAACAACACGCATGTAAACCCTTCCATGACAGCCATCCGTCTTCTGGGGAAATATTGTTTGACGAATCGCACACAAGGCACGTTTCCTTGGATATCAGCGAGACGTTGAAAAAATCTGGTTGGAGGGGAAAAGCCCTTGTTCATTTTTCCCCGTGTCACTCAGAAACACCTGTGATGTGGTGCTCATTTTCCTACTTGAGGCCATTAATTATGACATCATTGCGATGGGGAAATCAGCGCAATGACAGATCAAGGGTGAAGTTCTCGAAAAACAGGCTTAAAGTCATTAGGCGATCAACCATGACTTCATGAAAAAGGATTGTGTTCATATGTGTGTGTGTGTGGTACTGGTTTTAATGGTTTACAAGGAGAGTTTTTTGTATTTTGACATGGGTATGACATTGTTGTACTCTATTATGGTGGTTTACCAGGACAAGTCTGATGTCCTTGCAATTCAAAATGCTTCAAATTTGTAATTAATGAGTCTTATGACAGTAATATCTTGTCACGTGGTTCCTGTGAGGGTTGAGTCCTATAGTAAGTGTTTTTACTGCATAAAATACATTATGCCTACACTCTCAGAAATAAAGGTATGTGATCTGTCACTGGGGTGGTACCTTTTCAAAAGGTACAAATTTGTACCTAAAAGGTCCATATTAATACTTCAAGGGGTACATATTAGTACCTACTAATTTTAAGAGGAACACTTTTCTATTTTTAAGGTACTATATGTATTCTTGAGGTATTAATATGGACCTTTTAGAAACCTTTTAAAAAGGTACCACCCCAGTGACAAATCGTGTACCTTTATTTCTGAGAGTGTATGGACTGTCCCTGTAAACCACTAATTATAACATGTGTGTGTGTGTGTGTGTGTGTGTGTTGGGGGGGGGGGGGGGGGTTATGTGTGTATGCTGGTTTTGGTGGTTTACTTTTACATTTTTTTTTGGTATTTTTTCATGGATATTACATTGTTGTACTCTATTATGGTGGTTTATCAGGACATGCCGGATGTCCTTGTAATTCAAAATGCTTCAAAATTGTGATTATGAGACTTTTGGAGTGATTTTTACTGCATAAAATGCATTATGCCTATTGAGAGTCCCTGTAAACCACTAATAACAATATGTGCGCATGTGTGTAGGCTGGTTTTGGTGGTTTACAAAGAGAATGTTTTGTATTTTAGCATTGTTGTACTCTATTATGGTGGTTTACCAGGACACACTTGATGTCCTTGTAATTCAAAATGCTTCAAAATTGTAATTAATGAATCGTTTGGCATTAAAATGTTGTCGCATGTTTCCTGTGAGGGTTGGGTTATATAGTAAGTGTTTTTACTGCATTAAATACACAGCCTTATCTCATGAGGAAACGTTAGTATTTTATATTTTGCCAGTTTAGTGACTAATTCGTACAAATTCATACGAGTTCAGTTGTATAAAACTGTACGATTTTAAAAAGGAGGCATAGCACCCAACTCCACCCCTAACCACATCCGTCATTAGGTGATGAGCAAATCGTACTAAATTGTAAAAATTAGATCATACGAGTTAGCCACTAAATCAAAAAGTTACGGATTGTTGTGAGATTGCGTTTAAAATACATTATGCCTATGGAGAGTCCCTGTAAACCCCTAATAACAGCAAGTGCGTGTGTGCGTGTATGCTGGGTTTGGTGGTTTACAAGGACAGATTTTTTGTATTTTGACATGGGTTTGACATTGCTGTACTCTATTACAATGTTTATGAGGACATGTCTGATGTCCTTGTAATTCAAACTGCTTCAAAATTGTAATTAATGAATCTTTTGACATTAAAATTTTGCCGCCTGTTTCCTGCGAGGGTTGGGTCATATGATAAGTGCTTTTACAGTATAAACTACATTATCCCTATGGAAAGTCCCTGTAAACCACCAATTACAACGTTTATATGTGTGTATGCTGGTTTTGGTGCTTTACAAGGACAGTTTTTGTATTTTGACATTGATATAACATTGTTGTACTCCTGTTTATAAGGCCGTTTAATCTTCTTATCATTAAAAATGCTTTAAAATTGTAATTAATGAGTGTTTTGAAACTAAAATTTGCCACATGTTTTCTGTAAGGGTTAGATTTAGGGGTAGAGCCATATAATAAGTGTTTTTACAGTATTAAATACATTTTACACCTATGGAGAGTCCATGTATGGTTTACCAATTCCATGTGTGTGTCTGTGAGGGAAGGAACATGGAGACAATTAAAGAAAATGTGATATACCGCAAAGGAGAAATTTATTATGGTAGTCCACGACTTGGCAACATGTGGGTGTTGCTGTGGGTGTGAGACATTCTTGTATTGCTGCCAAAACAGCTAATAAAATATACCTTAACAACGTTCAAAAGGGAAGTGGCACTTCAGTCCGAAAACCCTGGAGAAACGTCTGAAAATGATGCCATGTAGTACATATAGAGACTTTGACCTAGGAAGTAGACAATGCACCCTTAGTTATGTCTGAAATCTGTCTTATAGATTATATGCTATACTTTAAATATTTGAAAATTAAATAAAATACACAAGAGTGAATCAGTTTGGCTTTAACTGTCCATAAGTGACATGACTAAAACAATAATTTAATTTCTTATCAGTTAACTATCCCCATCTATGTCCAGCATTGGTTTCATTTTAATAATGGTAACTATATTTACCTAAAAACATAACATCAGCTAATAAATGTTTTTTTTAGATGTCATCACATTTAGTTCAGTTAACTGATGTTATTGAGTCTTACCTTACTCTACGAACAACAGGCCTATAAAAAGTCACACAATTCTCAAATGAAACATGAATGTTGCACGATGACACGGACAAAATGAGAATGTCAACCAATGTGTTTCTGCAGACTGTTTTCATCAAGTCTGTTTATAAAAACATAGAATTAATACATTTTTACTATTAGAAGGTGGATATATTCACACACTGCTGCCACACAACTGTGTTAAAACCCCTAATAAAAATGATTTCTGCATAATAGGTCCTCTTTAAGGTAATTACACTACATGCATTAGGTGCATCTGGGATAGACCTTTGCACAGTGGAAATGTACTGTGGTGAGATGAGTATTTTTTGGAAGCGAGAAATGAATGTTGTTTGCTCTGGACAGAAGAAGAAAAGGATCATCCAGGTAGCCCAAAAGCCAGGCTCTGTCATGGTTGTATCAGTGCCCTTGATAAAGATATCTGTCAAAGCCCTTGGCCACAAATGGGTCTTCCAAACAGACCATGACCCTGAGAATACTGCCAAACTAGTTCAAATGTGCTTTAAGGATAACAGAGTGAATGTTTTGGTGTGACCATCACAAAGCCCTGATCTCAATCATATAGAAAATTTGTGGGCAGATTTGAAAAAGCTTGTGTGGAAATTCCTGCAAATTGTTGAGAGAAGCTTGTGGAAGGAGACCCAAAACATTTGACCAAAGTTATACAGTTTTAAAAGCAACGCTAAAAAAAAAAAAAAAAAAAAAAGGAAATGTGTGTAAATTATGTATGTCTAGAAATTAAAAAAACTTCTAAAAAAACAAAACAAACATTCTCTCATTATTCTGGCATTTAGCAAGTGTAAATCATTTAGGTAATCCTAACAAACCTAAAACAGTAAACGTTTAGTATGAGTTTTTAAAATGGTCATGTTCCTTTTTTTTAAAGTGTGTGTAAACTTCTGGTTTCATCTGTATTAATAAACAGCTTGTAGTTTATTAAGCTTGTAGTGATAGTTAATGTTTTGTTTATACTGTGAATTGTGAAATAAACTAAACTGTTACCCATATTTATCTTTGCTAAAGCCTTCATAGCAATATTTATTTCAAGAATCGATAGTAGTATAACCATCTTACTGCACTGGCAGATCACATGATTTGCATCTACTTAAATCATTCAATACTTTCTCACATACAGCTGCTTATTTTTTGTGCAGTGTGAAGTGTAGCTGTGGCAGAAATGGGAGGGAGACTTTTATAAAAAAAATAACAAAAACTCCACCTCTTATCAAGTGTCCAGCATCCCTCCCTCCCACTCCAGCATCCCAGCTCTTTAAAAGCAGCCCAAGTCTCATTTCTGATCCAATTCTGATCCAATTACTGTTTTTACACATCTGATGTCTCTTCAGCACCACTACCTCCACTGAACATCAAAGAGGAACATCACAAGCTCTCTACATTGAACAACGATGATGTCTCTGCCTCATTTGCTAGCTCTCTGGGTCACCATTCAACTGTGCATTTTTGCCTCCAGCTCACTTGTATTAGGCTTGAAAAAGTTCTGCTCGTTGTGCCCCTCGGGGGAGCTCAAGAGCCACAGATCTGGAGATGAGATGACATCCATGCTGGCGTTAGATGAGCCATGCGGGGTTTATACACTACCGTGTGCTTTAGGGCTCCGTTGTATCCCTCCAACAGGAGAGCAAAGTCCTCTTCAGGCGCTGCTTCAGGGACGAGGAGCCTGCAGAAACAGCAAAAACACCATCTCTGATATCCCTCCGCCTACAGGTAAGACCAATACACTCCAATAAATGACATGTGCTGTTTGTTCAAGCTACTTATTTAAAATAAGCTGAAACAACACAATTTGGGGGCGGGTTGACTTAATTGTGTTAATCTACACAATTTGTAAAAACTAATAAGCTAACTTAATTATTTCATGTTGTCAAAACACAAATCAATTTTGTGAAACCCACCATGAGTATCTATTATTAAAAGTGATTAGGAAATGAATGGTAAGACAGTTGTGAGTAACTAACTAAACCTACACTGTAAATAAATCTTGCTGTTTACTTTTTAGTTGCATCAAATACAATTTTCTAGTTGGAAAAAGTGACTTTTATTGACATTTTTAATTGTGTAAAGTGGTATATGTCTGGGTTGGTGTCGTATATTACATTGTAAAAAAAATCTGCAATTTTACAGTTTGTTTCCGGCAGCTGAGGTGCTGAAAAAAAAATAAAAGAATGAGCGTTAAATAACAGAAATTTTACGTAAAATAACAGATATTAAATTACAGAAATTTACCGTAAAGTAACGGCTGTTAAAAACAGGAATTTACCGTAAAATAATGAATATTAAATTATAGAAATTTACCGTAAAGTAACGGCTGTTAAATTACAGGAATTTACCATAAAATAATGAATATTAAATTACAGAAATTTACCGTAAAGTAATGGCTGTGAAATTACAGAAATTAAATATAAAATAATGAATATTAAATTACAGAAATTTACCGTAAAGTAACAGCTGTGAAATGACAGAAATTTACTGTAAAATAACGGCTGTTAAATTAAAGAAATTTACCATAAAATAACAGATATTAAATTACAAAAATTTACAGTAAAATAGCGGCTGTTAAATTACAGAAATTAAATATAAAATAATGAATATTAAATTACAGAAATTTACCGTAAAGTAACAGCTGTGAAATTACAGAAATTTCCCGTAAAATAACGGCTTTATAAATTACAAAAAAATTACTGTAAAACAACAGATATTCAATTACAGAAATGTATCAAAAAACGGATATTAACTTAAAGAAATTTACCAGAAATTTAAATTTAAGGAAATTTCTGAAATTTAATATTTGTTATTTTACGGTAAATTTCTGTAATTTAACAGCCATGATTTTACTTTTTTTTGGGGTGCTGGGGTGCCGGAAATAAACTGTAAAATTACGGATTTTTTTACAGTGTATGCTACAAAAACCTTAAACTGCAGCACATTTTCTGTTATTTTACAGACTTATTTCTCTATATATTATTTCTTATACATTATATTATTTCAAACTACTTAAATGTCAGTAAAAGTCACCTTGATAAACTGTAGAGTTGAACTTTTAACATCAAAAGTTGACAGAGCAGAGATCAACATCCAACATAGGCTCATTCTGAAAACGTAGCCCTGTATACATTTCTGGAGATCGTGAATTATGTAGCCAGAGGTACGTATGGCTGCATTTCAATTTTAAAATTGACGCTACGGGGTGGTATGACGATGTGTTGTTATCGCGCTTACCAGCTGACCGCTTAGTTCCGTATGGACGGCTTTCCTACTGTTACTACTTTGTCCAGAGGCTCGCAATGTACGTCGGCAGACTTGAGACGCAGAGAAGAATTAACTATGACAATGGGGTTTGAATCAAGAGAAGAACGGTTCCAGAAAGCAGGTAAGACAAAAAAAAGAAGCCAAAAATAAAATAAACAAGTGAATAACAGGGTAAGAATGTTGTAAAATCAGAAAATGTGGTAAAAATCAGGCGAATTGCTTTTTTGCATTGCTTTTGAAAACACTATCGGTTGGGTTTAGGGAAGGAGGTGGGCGGGTCAATCGATCGGTCAGTCAGTCGACATCGGCCTCTGGTGGATTTACGTGAGAACAGCAGGCGCAAATGGCACTATTGAGAGAAATTTGAGATCTGAAAAAGTGTACAGAGCAGCCTCTGGTGGATTCACGAAAACAAAAACTGCAAAAATTTAGCTCCTGTGAGGTTGTTGGTGCTCTCCAGAAATGTATACAGGGGTACATTTACAGAATGAGCCTGGGTTAAAATTTTACAAAAGAAACCATCAAACTTACTTTAAAAACTTGATGTAGCACATTACTTTAGGTGACCTTTTTTGACACCTCTGTAACTTACTATAGTACTTACAGTTATTTTTACACAATTGAATGCACATGCATTCAAACCTTAAGTATATGCACGTTATTAATTAATATTACTCAGTAGTTAAACGAATAGTTACACCGGACACTGTCAAATAAAGTGGATCACACATTATTTTAATTATTAACAAGTCATTAACTGAGACTTTTAGCTCAATAAACTACTAATTAGCAGCTTATCTATGGTTATCATTTATACGTAAATGCTGATGAGCCGTTCATACCTTAATATTAGGCAGGCAAAAGGCCTGTAGTAAATGGTGTAAGTGTTACCATGAAGTGTAACCAAATATTATTCTGTCAAAACATTAATATATTTTACCATTAAATATAAATAATGTTATTTAACTACTTATCTGCTGTTCACTTTTTCTATTTTTGTTCACTAATTTTGTTCTCTATTTATTTCTGTTTCAGACTATGAACCGTCAACCACAGAGAACAACGAGAAGGTAGTATTGCTGCTTCTGATTTTGTAAAAGAAGAGTTCTGCATATATGTTACTTGCTTTAATAATGTTTTTTATTATTATATTGCAGGGTCCATGTCGCAAACTGCTGAACTCAGTGCTCCAGAGCATAGAGCTGACAGTGATTCACTCGGTTCAGGACATCTACATCCCCAACTGTGACAAACAGGGATCCTTCAGGAGGAAGCAGGTGTGTAGAAAATAGAGAAGCTGCAATAGAAATGCAAAACCAAGACCAATTAAGGTCTTAAGGGATTGGAGACGTGAGGCAGAGTAATTAATGACCAACACGGGCTCATTCTGAAAATGTACCCTTATATACATTTCTGGAGATCACGAATTATGTAGCCAGAAGTACGTACAGCTGCATTTCATCTTTAAAACTAACGACTAACTCGGTATGACGCTTTGCCTTTTCACGCTACCAGCTGACCTCTTACCTCTGTATGGATGGCTTTTCCTCTGTTACCAGTTTGGTCAAGCGGTGCTTTTGAAAACACTATCGGTTGGGTTTAGAGAGGTGGTGAGCGCTGGTCAATCGATGCTTTTGAAAACACTATCGGTTAGGTTTAGGGAAGGAGGAAGGATTGTTAGTTGATTTGTCAGTCAGTCAGTCAGCCGACAGCGGCCTCTGGTGGATTTACATGAGAACAGCAGGCATGAATGACACTCGAGAGAGAAATTTGAGATCTCACAAAGTGTACAAAGCGGCCTCTGGTGGATTCATAAAAAACAAAATCTGCAAAAAAAACGTAGCTCCTGGGATGTATTTGGTGCTCTCCAGAAATGTGTATAGGGGTACGTTTTCAGAATGAGCCTGGGTTGTTAATGACAGAAGTTTCATTTTTGGGTGAACCAACCCTTTAAAAATCCTGACATGCGCTGCAAAAAATGCTTTTCTTACTAAGAGTTTTTGTCCTTTTTTTTGCAGAGCAATTTTTAAAGGGTCAGTTCACCCAAAAAATAAAAATTATGTCATTAATTACTTTGCCTCACGTCATTACAATCCCCTGAGACCTTCGTTCTTCTTCAGAACACAAATAAAGATATTTTAGATGAAATCCTGGAGCTCTCTCATCCTCCATAGACAGCAAGTGTCCTAAGATGCTCAAAGTCCAGAAGAGGAACCAATACATTGTCAAAACAGTCCATGCGTCTTTAGTGGTTCAACTGTAATCATATGAAGCTCCAAGAACACTTTTATACACCAAAAATGACTTTGTACGCCTATATTCTGCATCAGAAAAGGTTGTATGTTTACCACTGGCAGTACAGTGTGTGCTGTGCTATTGACTCTAATGGCATTATATGCAACCCATGCTCATTGCGGATATGTACCCAGGTCTACATTTCTGGGGACAGCGAAATACAAAACCGCAGGTATGTCTGCTCGCAATTTATGTTTTTGCTTATCCACCAGAGGCTGCTGTGTATGCTTTTTTGATGATCTCAAATTCGAGTCTTCTCGCATATATCCACCAGAGGGCACAAAATACACTTAAGCAGACCAGGCCAGCCTGCTGTTGACTAATTGACCCACCCACCCGTTCCCTAAACCCAACTGATAGTGTGTTTTTTTTAAAGCAATCTATAAAAAGAAAAGCAGCTGCGGCCACATGATTCTACCATGATTTCAACCTGTTGCTTTTTTATTTTATTTATTTATTTTGCCTGATTTCTGGAACAATTTTTTACGAGACTCAAACCCTGTTGTTGCGGTCAATACTGCTCCACGTCCTAAGTCTACCAAAGTTCGCAGCCAGCCACTGGGCAAACTGGTAACATTATAAAAGCATGTCCGTATGGAGGTAAGCGGCAGCTGGTAGCGCAAATAGGAACAGTTGTACCTCTGGCTACATAATTTGCGATCTCCAGAAATGTAGACAGGGGTATGTATCCACAATGAGCCTGTATTCAATAAATTGTCTGTAGTAAACACTCGCTTGTTCTGACCTGACAGTGTAGAGAAGACAAAGGCGAACAAAGTAATTTCTGCCATTTGTTTTGGCACACAAAGGTGTTCTTGGAGCTTCCTATGATAACAATTGAACCACTGAAATCCTCTTTTGACAATATTTTGGTTCCTTTTCTGGACTCTGAGAGTCTCGGGACCCTTGCTGTCTATAGAGAACGAGAGAGAGCTCCAGGATTTCATCTAAAATATCATCTAAAGTGTCCCAAAGATGAACAAACAGCATGAGGGCAAGAAATGAATAGCAGAATTTTTATTTTAGGGTGAACGTACCATTTAAGACAGACGAAAGAGGTTTCAAATATGACATTTTTAATAAAATAATAAAATTCTGAATTCTAAACAGATAAATGAAAGATTTCCAATTGTTTGTCCTGTTGACTTTATTCTCTGACTGCCGTCATTATTTATATCATAACAATGCGATCTATTCTTTATAAGCAATAATATAGTTGGTTTGCTCTTGTTTTGAATCAGTGTCGCTCGTCACGAGGAATGCAAAGAGGCCACTGCTGGTGTGTCGATGAGAAAGGATCAAAGATTTCGTCCCGTAGGAGAAGCGATGGATCAATCTCATGTAGCAGCGCTTAACAGAACTTCACATGGAAATCTGTTCATTACTCTGAGACAGAGAAAAAGCCAGCGACAAACACTGAGAATATTTATGGCCACAAGCCTTTACAGTCCTTCATCTCCCTCTGGTGGCGACAAATATGTTTGCAGCATTAATTCTCATGCATCAACTGCCAGAACTCTAACAACTTGATTAAAAGCATTTCAATTTTTTTCTTCTACTTTAAAAAAAAACTTTTATGTTTTAAAACTTAAACTTAAAAAATATAATATACTCTTTAGTCAATGTCATCTCCCATTAATGTGCTATGTGTCCCGAACAAATTACAGTACAATGTTTTTTGTTATTTTTCTTAATATATTTATGTTGCATACATATTACATTGAATATATAGTAATATATTGGCTGTCCTTTCGTTGAAATAGCTGCACAATATCTGTGTGTATGTGTGTGTATATATGAAACAAACTAAACCTTTTCTATGTGTGGTTTTAATAAATACGTAACTGTAACATATTGCTTAAATAAAGAGATTAAAACACTTTATTTTAATTTATTTCAAAGAAAAAAATGTACTGGGGCGCAGCAGTGGCGCAGTGGGTAGTGCTGTCACCTCACAGCAAGAAGGTCGCTGGTTCGAGCCTTGGATCAGTTGGTGTTTCTGTGTGGAGTTTGCATGTTCTCCCTGCGTTCGCGTGGGTTTCCTCCGGGTGCTCCGGTTTCCCTACAGTCCAAAGACATGCGATACAGGTGAATCGAGTAGGCTAAATTGTCCTTAGTGTATGAGAGTGTGTGTGTGAATGTGCGTCTGAATGTTTCCCAGAGATGGGTTGCGGCTGGAAAGGCATCCGCTGCGTAAAAACTTGCTGGATAAGTTGGCGGTTCATTCCGCTGTGGCGACCCTGGATTAATAAAAGGACTAAGCCGACAAGAAAATGAATGAACAAAGAACTGTAAGAACCAATGAATATACATTATTAACCCTTTAAGGTGCACACCCCTAAAATGTTTTGGCCCACATCTTGTATTGACTTCCCTCCGATAAATAGAAATAAGCAATTAAAAAAATAATGATAACCCATGGATAAAAGATCAACCAGGTGGTTATGATGCCTGTTAAAGGGTTAAAGAACGTTTAAATTACAGATACAATCAGATAAAAGTTCACTTTCTTTTTAAATGCAGTTTAATTGTGCTGATAAAAATAAACTGCAGGCTGAAGCCTGAGCAAAGATTTGCCTATGTCAACACAACTAACCACCTCAGCTCAACACACACACACACTTCATCCCTTCACCAGCACTGGACGAGCACTAAACCAAACTCTTTCTGCAAAAAAACTGCTCGGTTTGTTCTGTTCATGCGATTATTTCTCCAGGAGGATTATTTTTTCTTGAAGAAAGAAACTGCACGCCTCCAACAGAAATGCTGATCAGGCATGTGACTGTTTTGGATCAAGTGTAATTCTCTTGTGTTTTTAAGCAAGTCGGCGGAGCGGTTTATTCACTGTATAGAGTTGTAATAATTAGTGTCTGCTGGATTTTCAAGACACTCAAAGTCATAGTTAAGCTGTTGATTGTTATATTTCTGAGAAGATGTCTTCCCCTGGTAAGTCAGGGGCTATTTTGGGAAGAAGACTTTCACGAACCAAAAGCAAGAAAAAACACTTTGTGCATCAAAAAGTGGAGGTGTTCTGGGCCAGCGACCCCATCCTGACAGTGTTCATGTGGGGCATCAATCACACGGTATGTGTTTCTACACACTTTCCTTGTTCCATATCTGATAAATTAATTTTTGTGTAGTGCTTAAATGTGTGTGTGTGTGTGTGTGTGTGTGTGTGTGTGTGTGTGTGTGTGTGTGTGTGTGTGTGTGTGTGTGTGTATATATATATATACACACACACACATACATTTGTATACTTTTTGTATATATATATATACATATATATATATATATATATATATATATATATATATATATATATATATATATATATATATTATCACCTAATTGCTGAAGCATAAGGTGCATTGTTTAATGTTAGTGTGCTAGTGAGAAGGGCTGTCATTTTTTTTATTAATCTTTTTATTGTTTTTAGCATAAGAAATAATCAATAACATAAACAGAACGAAAACAACATAAAAAATAAAAATAAAAAATAAGGGGGGGGGGGGGGGGGGTTACAAAGGCCATTTCAAAATACACAAATAGTCGTACACAACATAGTACAACATCATCCAGAAAGCATAAGGAAATAAATAGAATTAAATATGAAACAAAAATAATTTACAGAGAAATGCGTAGGCTCCATAATTTGACTTACTCCAGACCAATCTCACTTTTAAAGAGTTACAAGTCAGCATTACTGATATAAAACATAATTGGGCTCGAGAAGGGCTGTCATTAAGCAAAGTTTATTTATAAACTAATTTCGAGAGGATCACGTGCTTATGATTGATCACAGCTAGTCCCACATTTTCCAATTTCTGATTTACCAATCAGACGATTCCTAAGTCTTCATAAATAACCTAAGTTTCATACCATAGTCATCTTCATTTTGAAGAATCCCCCCTTCCTTCCCTACTCCTCCTCCTTTCCTAGATGGGCGGCATGGCGCCCAGTGGTTAGCACTGTTGCCTCACAGCAAGAACGTCATTGGTTCTAGTCTTTACCAAGCCAGCCGACATTTCTGTGCGGAGTTTACACGTTCTCCCCGTGCTCATATGGGTTTCCCCCGGGTTCCCCGTTTTCCTCCCACCATCCGAAAACATGCAACTTATGTTGACTAATCCAAATCGGCAGCATAGACATGATCCTAGTAAGTAGTTATCTCTTAAGAGCGATCACTATCTGTTCATTAGCTACTACAGCAGGGTAGTTCTCCAGATCTACCTGAGCTCAAACTCCCCTCTCGCCCTGCAAATGGGAGGGAGCCCTGGGCTCAAGTATCTTATGAGCTCAGGGCTCTCTCCCAGGTCAGCATGCCAAACAAGCTTTAAAGTCAATCATCAGCTAAGGGTGAACTCTTGAAAGGCACAAAATGTATGTTTTTTTTCATGCTAATGCTAATGACGACCCTTGATTTCAGGTTTGGCTTTCTAGCAAACAGGGAAACAGCAGCGAGTGTTTAATATGTTGTGTGTTTTGTTAGACTGCCCAAAGCAGCATTATAACTGAAGCCTAAAATGTATTCAGTCAGATAAACAGCGCTGCTTCTTCTCTACGTGATCATGTGCTGAACTACAAGAAGCGCTGGATTGTGGCATAATAAAAGCTCCGCTGCTTCACGTTTACTTCACATTAGCAATTGCTCTGCGTTTCTTTTGTTTTGCTTCTTTTAGCCTTAAAGTACAAATGAATTCAACACACTCAGTCACAGAGTCATCAATCTACGCCTTTGTTTGTTGCGAACACACTCCCTCTAGTGGGCAAAATGACATACTGTGCCTTTAATTCAACACCAATGCTAATTTTTAACCATCCCCCATTTAACCTTTGCAGATAAACGACCTCTTCCAAGTGCCGATGCCAGTAATGCTGCTTCCAGACGACTTCAAAGCCAACATAAAGATGAAAGTCAACAATCATTTGTTCAACAAGTACGGCCTATTAAACATCGCACGCTTCACTGAAACTCTTTCTGACTGACAGACTACTAAGGATGTCAGTTTAGGTCCATTTATTTGGCATGTCAGTACAAATGACTGCTTGGCACTGTATAAAATTGAGTCATGACTTGATTGGCGACATATAAATTTATAGATGAGTAACTGTGCAATTAAAATGGTCAAAAATTGCAAAGAAATTGCAAAAAAAAATAGTTTTTGTTTTGCTTAAGGTCCAAATAAATAAAAATAGTTCAATTATTTGTACAACGTTACTGTTTTGCTTTCAGAAAGTACATTACAAAACATATGCACTACCTCACAAAAGTCTTGTCAACAATCCAAGTTTTAGGATCAACAAATAATAAGTTGACTTCTAGTTGATCATTTGGTGTCAGAAGTGGATTATATGAAAGGCAAAAGCCTCCAGATTACGCTTATTTCACCAGAATAAAGTATGATCATGCACTGATTTTTAATGATTTCATTAGTCCAAGTCCTGCTGCAGTGGAGACAGAATGAATATTGTGTCTGACTCCATCATGAGCTTGGAGGACTGCATCCATACATCTCTGACTCAAATCACTGATTAATAAAGTCATCTGGAATGGCAAAGAAAGCGTTCCTGCAGGACTCCCAGAGTTCATCAAGATCATTTGGATTCAACTTCAATGCCTCCTCCTTCATCTTACCCCAGACATGCTCAATAATGTTCATGTCTGGTGACTGGGCTGGCCAATTCTGGAGCAGCTTGACCTTCTTTGCTTTCAGGAGCTTTGATGTGGAGGCTGAAGTATGAGCAGGAGCGCTATCCTGCTGGAGAATTGTCCCTCTCCTGTGGTTTATAATGTAATGGGCAGCACAAATGTCTTGATACCTCAGGCTGTTGATGTTAATCATCCACTCTGCAGATCTCTCCATACTGAATGTGACCCCAAACCATGATTTCTCCTTCACCAAACTTGACTGATTTCTGGGACAATCTTGGCTTCCAGTAGTTCTTCTGCAGTATTTGTGATGATTGGGATACAGTCCAACAGATGATTCATCAGAAAAATCTACCTTCTGCCACTTTTACAAATGATCAACTAGAAGTCAAGTTATTATTTGTGGCTCTTACAACTGGAATTGATGACAAGACTTTTTTCAGGGAGTGTACATATACAATACATACAATTAAGTCAAATTTTCTTTAAAACAAGCTAAATAATCTGCCAGTATGGTAAGCAAAATTATTTTTGGTTGAAAAGGCACCCCCCTTTGGATAAGTTGGCGGTTCATTCTGCTGTGGCGACCTCTGATAAAAAAGGGACTTTTTGAAAATTGAAGGAATGAATGGTTAAAAATAAGATTGTTTTGCTTATTTTAAGGGGAAAAAAGCACTTTTCTTCAGAAAACAAGACAACAAGACAACAATCTTCAACTTTTCAAACAAATGCTAGTCTAAATATCTAAAAATTAAATAAATTAAAAAGCATTTAAGTCAATAATTTAATTCAGAAATAACAGTAATAAATAATCAGTCAAAATAAACTTTTTTTGTTGTTAAAACAAGCTAAAAAAGCTTTTTGATGTAATGATTTTTAGATATTTAGACTCGAAACAAGACCAAAACCCTAATAAGACAACTTTTTTTTTAGCTTTTTTCTTTTTTACTTTTTTAATATATATATATATATATATTTACACAATAAACAAAATTAAAACTCTTAAGCAAGAAAGACATTATTCATGTTGTATATCTCCTGTCATTTAATAGTTTTGTGGCTTTAATAAGTGCAGTTCGGTTTAACTTTAATTCGTAAATATTAATATTTTGAAAGCATATTTGTCATGTCTGGTCTTATATAGTCAAAGCTTTCAGACTGTTTTGCATGGCCACATGTGAATTGAACAAATCTTTTGTAAACCTCATAATCTGTCCCGGTATGGAGACTTTTATTAGTGATGGAGGGGGAGTTTCTGGCAAACACTCCAAACTTGTGACCCCACTAATATTCAACCTTGCCCACAGTTCTTATGATGAAATATCTGCAATTTCCAAGCAAAAACACAAGGACAGAACATATTATTTATTCAGACACGCTCTCTCATATCACTTAAACTTTCCAGGAGTATTTATAAGTGTTCAATAGTGTATCATTTCCTTCCTTTCGTTCATTTTCCTTCAGCTTAGTCTCCACTTCAGAGGTCGTGACAGCGAATTTAACACTATTACTATCTTACTTTTCAATCTAACAATGCATATCATATATTACAATTAAAATAAACATGAGAATGATGTTTAAAAGGGGTTTTGAGATGCTTTTTATTTATAATAATTCATAGTTTTATTCATTGGTTGTATTTATGATGCTCAAGTGAATATGGGACTAGCAACTCCCTGCAACCCAGCCCTGCTTAAAATGTTATAATAGTTCAATGCAGTGTGAAATTCTCCGAATAAAAGAGAATCTGCCCGAACGCGTGAATGTAAACGCCCTCAGAGGGAAGTTTGGAGTCTGGCAGAACAAAATACATCAATCTTTTTTATTGTGAGTCGGAGCAGCTGTCATTAACCATGAAATTGAAGGTCAGATTGACCCATGAAGATCATAATCATAAAAAGAAAATCAGGCACATTCCACGACACTGAAAAAGGCACTGTACACAAGTTCTGACAGCTTGTGTTTGGGTCAAAATGACATGTAACTGTGCCTGTCAGGATAATGAAAAAAATAATAAAATTATCTATATTTCTTTACACAAACACATATATTCATATTACATTTATTCATTTAGACTCACATATATATTTTTGTTACCTTATTGTTTATTTGTAATTAATAATGTTTAATGTGTGTGTGTTTTAATATAATGTTTTACTTATTTAAGTTTTTAGGTTTGCAATTTATTGAGCAAATTATTTAAAAATTGTTAATAAATAGTTTTTTATTCATAAATGCATATTTAATTATTAGAATAAAATAATCATATAAATTATAATATATCCAAATATATATATAAATAATAATATATATATATATAAATTATATATATATATATATATATATATATATATATATATATATTCATTTATTTTTATCATTTTTTATCATTTTATATAAAATATTAATAAATTGTTTTTATTCCTTAATGTTTAATTAATTATTAATTATAATAAAATAATCATATCAATAATAATATATTCATATATAATCTATAATTTTGTAATATAATTTTATATAATTATACATATTTTTTTTGCGTTTAGTTTTTTACGTTTTACTCATTTCAGTGTTTACATTATTTATAATACACTATATTAATTAAATAATGTATTATTAGATATTCATTGTAATAAAATAATAATATAAATAAAAATAGACGTTAAAATATGTATGTATTTATAAATACATACACACACACTTTAATTTATTTATATGTATATATGTATTTTTTTGTTTGTTTTTTAAAATAAGTACCACACATTTCAGTTTGTAATTTATTAATCAAATAATATATAATTTCCATGCAATAAAGAGATATTGTTAGAAATATTATAGATGCACTTACACAGCTAAAAACACAATTTGTATTAATTTATTTGCATATTTTTAGGGAAAACCTCCCTGGACATTTCAAGTTTAAGGAGTACTGTCCGCTGGTGTTCAGGAATCTGAGAGAGCGGTTTGGAGTTGAACATCAGGATTATCAGGTAAGACATTTCTGTACAGTTTAAGACTCAAGGCATGAAAAGTTGAAGTCTTTATGTGTCCTGACTGAACATTGCAGCTGTGCCACGTGATACCAAACAGTGAGATACACAGCAGAAAGCCTCTCGTTTGCATTATTTGCATAGATCTGGCCAAGTAGGCCTGTTTAAACCCATACAATTGAAAGGTGTATTTAAGACACGTGAGCTCAATTACATTTGAATGCTGGCCATCATTTGCTTTTGTTTGCATGAGGCACCCGTCACTAAAAAACTGAAATTGTGCTCTTTTTAATAGAGGGCGGAGCTTTAAACTCCTATGTGTCAGCATAGCGGCAGATTCAAAAACAAGTCTGAACTCCTATGCTAATGAGGGATAGATGGTCACTAGTGCATACCTGTTAACATTGGGATGTGAAAATAAGGTCACGCACCGTTATATGACTGTTTTGAGGATCGCATATGAAAGGGAGATGGCACCTGTAATGAAAAGGTAAGGGAATCCCACAGTTTTTATATTTATATATTTAAACACAAAACGAAAGCACAGAACGGACTCACATTTAGGAGCAAGGGGCGGCCCCTGGTGGTTTGGCGGTATGGGTTGTGTATAGGGAGGAACGGCTTTTTAATGTTTATTTGACACCCTTCAGAAAAAAACTGAAAATACGGGAGAAATATCGAATATAAATTTATATTTATTATAAGATAACACGGAAGGGTTGACAGGTGTGCACCAGTGGGCGGGGTTTTCCCCCTCTGATGACACGTACAAATGGAGAATGTCAATCAAAGGTGTTTCTGCAGACTGGTTTGATCAAGTCTGATTATGAAAACAGAGAATTAATTCATTTTAATAATGATGAGCAGGTTATATTCACACACTGCTAACACACAACTGTGTTTAACCCCTTTTAAAAGTGATTTTTGCATAATAGGTTCCCTTTAAAATGTGCAATTTCTTAATATAAACACTGAGCAGTTGCCGTTGTGCAATCTGTGTTACTGTAAAAATGCTTTCTGTTAGAATATTTTGATTGTTTTTATTGTAACAAATTCTTAAAGGGATTTTTAAAAATATGCACACTGGAAGAAGAAAATCAGTGTTGAAAGCAGGATTATTTTTATATACCCGCTAGAGGGCGCAAACTGACTTATATCTTCTTTCTGAACAAAAACTCAGAGAGCGTTCTTGAGTGGTGAAACTAAAGGGGTAGTTCAGCCAAAAAGTGAAAAAGTAGTGGAGTTGGAAGGGCATCCGCTGCATAAAACATATGCTGGAATAGTTTAGAAATGAACAGAAAGAATAGAATAGAAAATGAATGAATGAACGAATAAATGAGTAAATGAATGAATGAATGAACAAATTAATAAATGAATGAATGAATGAATGAATGAATGAATGAATGAACAAATGAACGAATAAACAAACGAACGAACGAATGAATGAATGAACGAACAAATTAATAAATGAATGAATTAATTAATTAATTAAGGAATGAACGAATAAATTAATGAATAAATGAATGAATGAATGAATGAATGAATGAATGAATGAATGAACGAACGAACGAACGAACGAACGAATGAAGCCTCTTAAAAAGACAGCAGGTTTTTCCTCCACTTTATATTGTGTTTGGCTCCACTCTAATAATACTATTTTTTACCCAGTTTACCTTATTTATCCCTGGCAGATAGTATTTAGTAAGGCATGGCTTTGATTTTCTGTTTTCAATTTTCCTTATGTGTTTTTTTCAGGTTTCTCTAACACGAAGTCCTCCAGTAAAGGATGACAAGGAGGAGGAAGCAGTGCTGCTGTTGTTGAAATCATATGACCGAACACTAATTGTCAAGCAAATCTCAAGTGAGGAGGTGGAGGACATGCACAACATCCTTTCAGAATATCATCAGGTACTGAATAGTGTTTCAATCAGTAGTTCATATCAATTCAGTATATCAAATAAAAAAATCAAGTACATTTCAATTCAGTATTTGGCTGCACGGTGTGTATTTGTTAAATATTTGCAGCACATTTCTGTGTGTTGTGAGTGTATATATATATATATATATATATATATATATATATATATATATATATATATATATATATATATATATATATATATATATATATAAGAAATGTTTGTGCATTTGCTTGTGTTGTGAGTGTGGATTCTCCTTGTTTACAGCATTTCCCAAGCATCTGCTGTTGAGATAATCTAGAATGCTGCTTGACTGGATATATTTCTTCTTATTAATACACAAACTAGAGCAACTTAACTTAGATAAACAATGTATTGTGTTGCTAAACGTGATATATTTATTGAGATATAGCTTGATTGTTCATCGATCAATTAACAATTGACTGAATCTAGACTATTTTTTCAACCAAATAATGATTTTCCGTTTCCCCTCAGCACATCGTAACATGTCATGGCAGCACATTACTTCCTCAATTCCTCGGCATGTACCGCGTCACTGTGGACAATGAGGACACATACCTTTTAGTCATGAGGAATATGTTCAGCCATCGACTAACAATTCACAGAAAATATGACCTCAAGGTAGACAATTTTTTTTTAGATAAACTCATTCTGAAAACGCAGCCCTATTTGCATTTCTGGAGATCACGAATTATGTAGTCAGAGGTACATATGGCTGCATTTTCTCTTTAAAACGAACGCTACCGGGCGGTATGACGCCATTTCTTTTCATGGTACCAGCTGACTGCTTACCCCTGTATGGACGGCTTTTCCGCTGTTACCAGTTTGCCCAGTGGCTCGCCTTGTATGTCGATAGACTTGAAACGCAAAGAGGAGTTGACCCCAAATATGGGGTTTGAGTCAGGCGAAGAACAGTTCTAGAAAGCAGGCAAAACAAAAAAATCAAAAGACAAAAAATAATAGTGGTAGCAGAAGTAGTAAAGGTGTCGTTGTAGCAGTAGTAGTAGTAGTCGTTGTTGGTGTAGTAGTACCAGTAGTAGTAGTCGTTGATGTAGATGTTGTAGTAGCAGTGATTGCGGTATTAGTAGTAGTAGTCGTTGTTGGTGTAGTAGTACCAGTAGTAGTAGTCGTTGATGTAGATGTTGTAGTAGCAGTGATTGCGGTATTAGTAGTAGTAGTAGTAGTAGTAGTCGTTGTTGATGTAGTAATACCAATAGTAGTAGTAGTTGATGTAGATGTTGTAGTAGCAGTAATTGCGGTATTAGTAGTAGTAGTAGTAGTCGTTGCTGGTGTAGTAGTACCAGTAGTAGTAGTCGTTGATGTAGATGTTGTAGTAGCAGTGATTGCGGTATTAGTAGTAGTAGTCGTTGTTGGTGTAGTAGTACCAGTAGTAGTAGTCGTTGATGTAGATGTTGTAGTAGCAGTGATTGCGGTATTAGTAGTAGTAGTAGCAGTCGTTGTTGGTGTAGTAGTACCAGTAGTAGATGTCGTTGATGTAGATGTAGTAGTAGTAGTAATAGTAGTAGACGTTGTTGTATTAGTTGTAGCAAACACTATAGTAGCATCAGTAGTGGTAGTCATTGTTGTAGTAGTATCAGTATTAGTAGACATTGTAGTAGTAAGAGTCGTAGTCGTGGCTGTTGTAGCAGCAGTAGTAGTCGTAATATAAGTAACTTTCTGTAGTAATAGTTGGTGTAGTACTTGTGATTTAATATCATTGTCAGTTATTATTACTGTTGTGCTTTCTTTCTTCTTACTGTCATTATTACTATCATACATTACTCAGCATTGTTGTTACTCCCTACCTCTGACTGGTTTCTTTCCATCTGTTTTACTTATATCTGCGATACTTGCTTCATTTATTGACTGTTATTGTTCCTTATGTATGTACTCTGACCTGTCCACCAAGTTACCTTTACACACACACACACACACACACACACACACACACACACACACACACACACACACACACACACACACCAGTACCTGATTATATTGTTTTTGTTTTGTTATTGTTTTGTTATTGTTTTTTGTTGATGTTTCTTTGTATTTGTATGATCCCAATTTATGTACATTTTTGGATATTCTACTAAAAAAATAATAAAAGACAAAAAATAAAATAAACAGGTAAACTACAGGGTGGGACTGTGGTAAAATCTGAAAATGTGGTAAAATCAGGCGAAGGCTTTTCTTTTTCTGGATTGCTTTTGAAAACACTTTCGGTTAGGTTTAGGGAAGGAGGATGGCGGGTCAGTCCATCAGTCACTCGACAGCGACCACTAGTGGATTTACGTGAGAATAGCTGGCGTGAATGGCACTCGCGAGAGAAATTTGAGATCTGAAAAAGCATACAAGCAGCCCCTGGTGGATTCGCAAAAACACTGCAAAAATACGTAGCTACTGGGATGTATTTGGCGCTCTCCAGAAATGTGTACAGGGGTACGTATTTAGAATGAGCCTGGGTTGAATAAATTAACTATTTACTCATTGTTTATTCTTTTGATATTCCAATTGGTTTACATTGTGAGGAATTGGATTGTTGCAACTTTAGCTCATTAAAACACAGCAGAACATAAAAAGTGGAAGGATCAATCATGTTTTCCTCATTTTATAGGGGTCATTGGTTTCTCGAGAAGCAAGTGACAAAGAAAAGGTAAGAAATGATGGGATTATGTTAAGTTGATCTGCATTTTTTTCTTATATCAGTATATCTTATGTTTCATTAATTAATTAATTAAGTAATATGAAAACCCAGGTGAAAGAGCTGCCTACATTCAAGGATGTGGATTTCAGGAATAACATGCAGCGAGTGTACATCAGTGACGAGGAGAAGGAGAAGCTTCTGGATAAACTCAACAGGGATGTAGAGGTGAGAAGATTGAATGATTTGCTAATTACTAATCTCATTTAATTACACATTATGTTTCATGATATGTAGAAACATGTTTTTATTGTTTTTACTCACGGCTTGCGCGAATAAATTGCGCTATTTGCACGGTAATAGGTGCATGAACACTTTCAGTTTACTCGCTTCATTCGCACCTTAAATTAGCTTAATTTGCATGTAAAATTCACTTGACAATAGACGCAGGATCACGTCATGTGCGGGGCTTCTGTCTGCTCAGTGACTCTAGTTTTGTTGCTAAATGATGAACATGGATTTTATTGAGAGAGTAGCTGTGCTTTACGTGCTTTAGGAAGGCTGAAAAACAGCGTAGATTTGTTCGGCGCAGGGTCCAGATCCTTTCAGAGGTGCACCCAGCTCCGAGTTCATCAACTCCTCAAGAAACTATACCTGGAAGATGGAGGTTTTCAGCGGTGCTTCAGACTGAGCCGAGCCCAGTTTGATGAGCTGTTGTCGGTGTCGGTAAAAGGATTTTCCCTCAGGACACCAACAACAGGCACTTCATCATAATCACCTCCTACAAGATCAAACTCCTGATTGGTTAACCCGGCTTAAATGTGCGAAAGTTCTGATTTTCAAACCCGAGCGATTTGCTTGTTAATCGTGTCAAATGTGCAAAACATTCAATTAGCGCTGCCTCATTCGCGTGAATAAGACAGTAGGATGTCTATTGGCGTCTTTGCATTGACTTAACATGTAAATCATTCACACTTGATGCTTCATCCACGTCTGGTGTGTACACACCATTTGAATGATGAAGACTACAACTCCCATGATTCCACACTCTCTATGCTTTTGTTTGTTGTGAATGTGATAGGTGGCCGTCTAGTGGCCAAAACTACATACTGCACCTTTAAATACCAGATGTGGATGACAGTCTTTCTCTCTCTTGTCTACTTGTGATGCGATTAACCAAAATGTGTGTGTTAATATCTGTTCTAAACAGAGCCTTTACAGTCTGTTAGTACTGTTGAAGTCAGAATTATTAGCCCCTCTATATATTTTCCCCCAATTTCTGTTTAACAGAAAGAAGATTTATTCAACACATTTGTAAACATAATAGTTTTAATATATCCTTTCTAATAACTAATTTATTTCATCTTCGCCATGATGACAGCACATAATATTTGACTAGATATTTTTCAAGATACTAGCATTTAGCTTAAAGTGACATTTAAAGGCTTAATAGGTTAATCAGGATAAAGTTAAGGCAATTAGGCAAGTCATTGTATAACAGTGGTTTATTCTGGAGACAATCCAAAACAAATATTGCTTAAGGGGGCTAATAATATTGACCTCAAAATTGTTTTTAAAAAATTAAAAACAAATAAGACTTTCTCCAGAAGAAAAAATATTATAGGAAATACTGTGAAAAGTTCCTGAATCTGTTAAGCATAATAACAAAACATTCAAAGGAGGACAAATAATTTTGACTTCAGTGTGTTTTGTTGCAGTTTCTTGTGCGTCTGAAGATCATGGACTACAGCCTTCTGCTGGGCATTCATGATGTCGGGAGGGCAGAGCAGGAGGAAGAGGAGGAGATGAAGGACTCTTTAAGCGAAGAGGAAGAAGATTCAGAGAATGATCTCCACCTTCCAGCGGTGGGGTCTTTCGGGACGTCCCCTGAGGGCATTGCTGGATACATGAGCTCCTACAAAGCTCTCGGTCCAGGAGAGTTTGATCCTTTTGTTGATGTATATGCCATCCAGAGCGTAGATGGTGAGTTGCATTACAAAAAGCATTAGTCTTTAGTATTTTTTAGACATAACTCTCAGGTGCCAACATGTGTCTGGAAAATTTCAGCTCAAAGTACCTCATGCAGCTTTCATTTAGTTTTAAAGGTCCTGTGAAGTGCTTTGAAATGTGCATTTTTAATTTGATGTTTGACGTAATCTCAAGTGAAACATGAAGAGAGGGTGGGACAAACAGCAGCTCCTCCCCTTTAAAAGAACAGCCAATAGCGTTTGTTTTTTCTCACAGCGCTGCTAGTGAGTGGTCGAGCTCAAACGCATCAAAGGATAGCAAACATAAAGGGGGCAGGACATGTCAGATACTAGACGGAATTTGATTGGTCAGAGGTTTGATAAGGAACTGAAGTATCAGGTGACGTCAACAAAATCGTTGATCTATTCAGGCGGAAGTGACAAACTGCTAGATTTGGATGTTTATATCAGATTTATATTTTCTAAATGTGAATTTTGTTTTGGGGCACACTAGCTTAAATATATATCCTTAAAACTAACAGACATGGAAAGGTGTGAAATAAATTCTTGAGGTTAATATGCCAATGTCAATGTCTTTTAACCCTGCTGAAAAATCCAGCTTAAACCAGCCTAGGATGGTTGGCTGGTTTTAGCTGGTCAACCAGCCTGGTTTTAGAGGGGTTTTGCCCACTTCCAGGCTGGTTTCCAGCCATTCCTAGCCTGGTCCTAGTTGCTATGGCTGGTACGTAACCAGCTAAAACCATCTAAAACCAGCTTGACCATCCTGGTTTAAGCTGGACATAGCTGGTTTTGGCTGGGCTCTCAGCCTGGCTGGCAAGCCTGTTTTAGCTGGTCATCTCCCAGCCTGATCAGCTAAAACCAGTCTTGAAGTGGCCAAAACCCCTCTAAAACCAGCCTGGTGTACCAGCTAAAACCAGCCAACCATCCTAGGCTGGTTTAAGCTGGATTTTTCAGCTGGGAATATGCCAAAATAAATGTTTTATCTCATCTATATCCCAAGGAGATCAAGTAAAAAAAAAGAAGGCGCAAATATTTATGAATGTATTTCTTCTGCAAGCAAAACGGCTTATTTCTTTAAATTGGAAATGTATATGTGCACCAAATAGAGGCCGCTGGCTGAAAGAGATGGTAACAAACACGTCAATAGACAAACATATTTAAATATTGAGAAATAAATATATAATTTTTGGTAGAGTTTGGGGACCTTTTTGTTTTTAAAAGGTGGTGGATTTGGAAATGTTTTACTAGAAGAAGAGTAAAAGAGGTGATGTTGTGTCCTGATGAAAAATACAGAGAAGCCTTTTGTTTTATTTGTTCATTTGTTTGCTTGTTGATTTATGTCACACCCAGTCCATGGAAATGTGTATTTACATGTTAAAATATAATAAAAAAGTTATTGAAAAAAACTAACAGACATAAACTAACATCAACATTTTTTTATTTTGATTTCGCAGGACTTTTAAATTAATAAATGAGCAATGTTGATATAATAAATCACATTAAACCTAATTAAGATTAATCAATGATAATAAAAGGTTTAAGTTTTGTCATTTTTAACATTCCTCTCAAAATAAATGTTCATTATGTGTTTTCATAAATTAAATAGTACAGATTCTGTTGGTCTCTTCTTGGTGTAGGTGCTCCATGCAGAGAGGTTTACTTCATGGGTCTTATCGATATTCTGACCCAGTATGACACCAAGAAGAGAGCAGCTCATGCTGCAAAAACAGTCAAGCATGGAGTAAGTCAAACATCTGTATTTACTGTGCAGTTCTTTCAATGCTATTATAGTTTATTTTAAAAGACTAAACTGAACTTGAAATGCTTTTATTGCTGTGATTCTTATTGGATATTAAGTGTTACTCATTTGCCATTATTTTCATTTGTGTTTTGTATTTACAGGCCGGGGCTGAGATCTCTACCGTTCATCCTGAACAATACGCCAAGCGTTTTCGAGAATTCATTGCAAACATCTTCGCCAATTAAGAGCATTTTAAATGTATTCTAGTAGATCTAGTAGACATAACATTGCTTGGGAGCTAGTAAAATGTTCTCAATTAATTATATTAAAAGCATTTTTTAATTATTATGACTTTTAGTAATTATAAAACTGTGATTAAATTGCTTTTGCTAGTCACAATTACAGTGAGAATGCATCCTTCAGATTAAAAAATATAATTTTTTATGTCCCCTGATGGAGTTTGAGTCACCTTTGCTTCCTTTCCACAAGACAAAAATACTATAGTAAATTATAGTTAAACTATACTACAGTAAAGTAACTGAATTAATCAGCTGTGGCAATATAACAACTTATGTAAGACAAACAAATTCCACATTACTGTAGTTTTCTACAACTGTTGTTATATTATATTACACAGCAGAGTTTACTGTAGTAAAAACTGAAGGATACTATAAGAATACAATATAAGGATACCATACAGTTTATCAGTTCACTATAGTTACTATTACAGTATGCTTTAACAAAGTGTTATAAATACTGTGATATACTAAATTACACCTTCCTATAGTATGATGACACTAGTGTTTACTATAAATTACTCAATTATTTTCTCATGTGGTTCAGACGGGGTCTGTAGGGCTGCCTTACTATTGAATCCCACCCTTAAACATTAATGAGAGGGGTCTGGCTGCAGACCTGGTGCAGTGCAATCTGGGCTGCATCCAATGTTTTTTAATGGGCTCACCTAACCCCACCCCTAACCCTACCCATCACAGTGACGTCACTAGCTCCATTTGAGTGCACTGTGTCTGATATTGCATCGCTGAGTGATGCAGTCTCAGCTTGCATCATAAAGGCTGCATCCAGATACTATTGACATTATTAGTATTGAATTCACACTCAACCGAAAAAACTTTGCTGTATTTCTGTGGACTTGTTAAACACTATATTGATTGCTAATATTGTCCTGTTTTGCCTCTGTAAAGGTGCTGTTCTGTGTTGTATAGTATAAAGCATTATAATAAAGGTGACTTGACAAATGTATGTGAGTATTTTGAAAAAGACATATATCACTTGATATGTTTTACAGGTTAGTGTGTGTTTGCTAGGTTGCTGTATTGTGTAATTTAAACCGCATCTCTGCATTAATAAGCGCCTCATAATCTTACTGTTCACTATTGAGTCCACTAAAATGACCTTTTATGAATGAGAAAATTCTGACTTTAAGCAGATTCAAAGTTCAGGGCTAAAGCTTTTGTGTAAATCTTTCAGCTTGTGTCAAATAGGCCACTGTAGTGATGAAATTATTGATTTTGTAATCTGACAGAGTTGTGTAATAACCCGTTTTTAAACGTAGGCCTATTTTAGGTTACACTTTAAGTTACACCTTGTTGGAAGTGTAGATTCCAACTAAAATAGATGAATTAGCTTAAATCCCACAAAGCAAACCCTACTGAAAAAACCTTGCTAAAACCAGCCTAGGCTGGTTGGCTGGTTTTAGCTAGTCGACCAGGCTGGTTTTAGAGGGGTTTTGGCCATTTCCAGGCTGGTTTTCAGCCATTTCCAGCCTGGTCTTAGCTGGTCAGGCTGGGAGGTGACCAGCTAAAACCAGCTTAAGCAGCCTAGCCAGGCTGGGAGTCCAGCCAAAACCAGCTATGTCCAGCTTAAAACAGGCTGGTCAAGCTAGTTTTAGCTGGTCATTTTCCAGCCTGGCCAGCTAAGACCAGGCTGGAAATGGTTGAAAACCAGCCTGGAAGTGGCCAAAACCCCTCTAAAACTAGGCTGGTGAACCAGCTAAAACCAGCCAACCAACCTAGGCTGGTTTAAGCTGGATTTTTCAGCAGGGAAATATCTCTGGGCCTGCTCTGGCCCACATAATCAGCTTTTGCTTGGCCCACATGCTGCAGTGAATTAAGGTACATGACTGGACCAAGTCTGACTTCCAGATAAAGGCTAAACATGGACCATATCTGGGCCAAGTTAATAACCCATAACTGAGCCTGAACTGGGCCAGATATGTTGGTGTGTCACGACTGCATTTGAAATTGATAAACCCACAAATCATTGCGCTTTTGGCACACTATGGCCGTGCTTTTTCTTGAGGCCACCTGATTGGTAGAATTTGTTTATTTTTATTTGAAAATAATAACAAGGTATTTTAAATTTGGGTCAAGATAAGCAGAGCTTACATGGCCCACATATCCATTATTAACATCTGGGCCAAATACTACAATTTATATCTGGCCAAAGTATTGTATGCCACCTTAAAGACGGTGCCACCTCTGCCAAACCAGGGCCATGTTTGGCCCACATGCCAGTATGTATGCCAGTGCCGGATGAAAGCCTGCTGTGCCAGATTTATGCCAAATCTGGGCCAGAATCCTTTGCTACCTGGGATGTTAAGTGTTTGCTTAGCATTCAAAAGCTAGTAGTGCTTCCTACATTCCCTGTGACTTACTTAGCATAGCGGAAGATGAAGAAATATATTTATTTTACCCCTCACAGTGAATGAAGGTATTATCTAGCTACTAATGAATCTACTAAGTGCACATCAGCTTTTTTTTGTGATGCATTTTGGTTTGAAATGTGCAATGTGTTTGATTCCATCTGACAACATTTTATTAGGTCTAAAGGCTATTTATTTATTTATTTATTTAGTAGTCGTATGTTTATGTTTAAACATGAATTACTAATCTTTAATGTTATTATATGTGATAATGTTGTTAGATTTAGTTTCTGATACTGATTTCGACAAACCAAGATGTGACAGATAGAACATTAAAGTTCAAGTCATGGTTTTAACAAACTATAATACACACTGGAATTCTGCAGACTATAAAACAACTTAAAACTAAATGTGAATATTGTATGAAATATGATAAAAATATCGATAACTTAAAAAAAGCTATTTCAGCTATTTAAGGGGATGAATTTACGACATTTACAACAGTACTTTACAATATTTACAAGCAGATTAAGTAGAAAATGATGACTAATATCAGCGCACTATATTGAACTTCAATTTCCAGGTTCACCGATTATTTCATGCATAATTCATGAGGCGATTGTTCACTGTTGGCGCGTCCCCGCTGCTGAGCAACAAGATGGCGGCCGCCGCCGGATCAGGTAAATTTATGAAAAACTGCCTTTGTATCAGATTGTTTCTTTCTTTCGTATGCAAAACGCGTGTTATGATGAGATAAATCGTGGAAGAAGTGTACTTTCATTGAAGTATCGACCAGTGTTACTGTGTTTAGGCTCTCGGCATTCATGTGGGTGTGTTTGCACAGCATTAGCCTGTCAAAACCGTGGCATTTATCGCGTTTAATGTCGATGGAGTTTGTGTTTGGGTCTGTTTTAAGTGGGTTAACATCCACGTACATCGCTGTTGATCTGTTTGGGTTAATATACAACAGGGTTTTAATGTTATATGCGTATTCTGTTGGTTAGCCATGTAGCTTATTCAACTGCAGCGTCATGATAGAGAAACAACACAATACAGTGGCCGTGTCTCAAAACCTCCTGAGCTGCCCTTGCTAGACAACACCTCTGGATGTGATTAGAAACAGGTGAACTTGAGTGATGTTTTAAAATCTTAAATTTGTTAATTCGTTAAGATTTGACAATGTTAGCCAAAGTGCTGTCCATGTAGGCAGCTCGCTAATTTGAGACACAGCCAGTGATCTATGCAGACCCTAATGTTAAAAACGCCTAACGTCTTGCCTTTAAACAAAGAAACGAATATTAATAAATTCATAAGTGTTTTGTAGTCTCTGTAACACGTGTACAGAGGTAATTTCCTATTAAATACATTTTTAGGTAATTTCTTATGTTCTCTTTAGCTTGGTGGTTTGTGCCACACAATTGCATTCTTTATATAAATATAATTGCAAAAGTAAAACTGCACACTATTGTTTTATATATTACATATAAACCTCTTTTTTACAGCATGAACATGCTAAATTTAACTTTACATTAGACACCACCAGTTGTTTTGTTTTTGTATTATAGTGTGCACTTGTGCCGTACTAGCAGCACTGTTTCCCAAAGTACATTTTTCTTTCATTTTTCCCACAGAGAATTATAGTCTTTGTTAAAGCATTTTAAGCCATGAACCACACCACCGCATCATGAACTTTGATTTGAAACAAAGAAATATTTGAAATCTGGACAAATACACAATACTCTATTTTAAATGACTGAAAGAACTACAATCCCATGAAGCATTGCCAGGGATACAATCAAATTTAACCTATAGGATATTGTGAGATTAGCGAAATTAACTTTCATCTATGATGCTTCATTGGAGTGGGTGGAACTAAATGTATTTTACATTTTCCTCTTTATGTCTTTTGGATTATTCTGCATAGCATGATGGGTATTGTAGTTTTTCTGCACAAATTTGACTATCAAATACGATTATTTTTAAAATAAGTTAAATTAATGTAAACTGAAGGGTTCAGCAAAATCACTTACAATCTAAATTAATTCTCGGAGGTCTCAAAAGGGCTGTTTATGATCGTTTTTGTTATTTAGCATAACTATTTAAAATATTGTATCCTCTTATGTAAATTAATAGAGCATTTACTTATTTATTTGTTAGTGTTCAGAAATCGTCAATTTAAAGGTGACATTTTTTGTCAATTGAGTTATTGACATTCTCATTAAATGACAACTTATTTACATTATAGTATGTTTTTTATAAGTTGTTTACATTTTAAGACTTTTTATTTAAAAAACAAATGTTACACACACACACACTGTTTTCTATATGGAATGTAAAAACTTTGAAGCTCAAAATCTCAAAATAATTCAGATGGCAGATAGAACCTTATAAATCCAAGGGGACGAAATGTTTTTTAGCAAATAGACGTTCTTTTAAGCACAAGCTTAAGGACTGAGAATCACACAATATATACAAAATATACATAAATTACTGTAGTCTGTTGCAATCCAATTTAAACACTAAGCAAGCGATAACATACATCTAGAATATAGTTTGACAGGCTTATCGGTCTCCTGGCGCAAAGCAGAGCACTGTTGTATAAGACTGAATGGCTTTTATTCAGTGTAAACAACCGTCTGACTGTACTTTATCCCACTTATTACATGACTACTTGCCCAAAAATATAAATATTAAACACATAACATTGTTTTGAGCTGTAATAGTTTAGCAATTCTTTAATTAAATGCAAAGCTGACAGAAACTAAAACAGCTGATGGAGTATACACTAACCTGCGCATTATTCAGACACAAGATGGCGCCAAACAGTCAAAACAAAGCTGATAGAAAAAACTGACTAAATGAAGCATATACTAACCTACAAATTTGTGTTATTTAGCGGTTGTTATCTTGAAATGTCACAACTGATCGATCAGAATCCAGTGTTATAGACATCCGTGTAATAATGCACAATTAAAGCTTTGAAAATGACGCTGTGCCAACTAGTGTTGTCACAATACTGGAATTCGGTAGTGAAATTTTAAAAACGTCCATTTCCCGCTAACATTTGAGCGCATTCTTAGACAGCGCTGATTTGCCATTGTGTTCACACTCTCAACAGAAAATGACTGTGATTGGCCGTGAAGGTCGTCAGTTCACCCAACTCACCGCTGTTTATTGAGTGGAACCACAGATACAGGGACACTGGAGCATTTTAAAGCTGCGAAGATCAGCTAGTCTGTTTATAAGCTGACATACGAGTGATCCGCTGATGAATCGACTTATATTTGTGGCTTTAAAACGCTCTAGTGTCTCTTTATCGGTGGTTACACTAGGTAAACAGCGATGAGTTCGGTGAACTGATGACCTTCACAGCCAATCACAGTTATTTCTGTTGAGCATGTGAACACAATGGCAAATAAGATTGCGCTCAAATATTATCGTAAAATGGACGTTTTTAAATTGCAGTACCGATTGGTACCGAATTCCAGTATTGTGACAATGCTAGTGCCAACTGTTTCGAACTTAACTTCTTAAAAACTACTTTTATTTAACTTTAAAACTACTTCAAACTAGGCTTTCTCAAGTCACCATAAAGTTTGTCTACTCCCTTTTCTAGTTATCTGTTATCACGCTCAGCTAAAGCTGTCTTTAATCCTTTTTTTGTTAGTTACAAGCTGGTCAGTCTTTATGCTCTCCTTCAGGAAGTCCAGCTCAATGGCTTTAAGGGTTGAATGGATTCATATTTTACCTTTTTGTCCTGTGTTTTATGGTTGTTGGCCCTCAGAGCTCTGCTTCCCTTGCGGTGTCTGTTTTGTGCATTATTTGAGCGGTAAATGCTCATGTTATTGTGTGTGTTTTCGCAGGCGTGAAAGTCCCCCGTAACTTCCGGCTGCTGGAGGAGCTTGAGGAGGGTCAGAAGGGTGTTGGAGACGGGACAGTGAGCTGGGGTCTGGAAGACGATGAGGACATGACCCTCACACGCTGGAGAGGAATGATCATCGGGCCCCCGAGGGTCAGTTCACTCCTCCACTATTTATTATTGTGCTATGATGAAGGCTATTGTGTTTTACAACTGTACAACTGGATCAAGTATAATTACAAGCGCATCTGTCACTCCTCCATTGCACTCGATTAGGGCTGCAGCTATCGATTATTTTAACAATCAAGTAATCTACTACTGTAGTAATCAATCGATTAATCGGATAAGAGGAGTAATGTGTAAATATCAGTATATACACTTATGTGCTCACCGGCCACTTTATTAGGTACACCTGTCCAACTGCTCGTTAAAGCAAATTTCTAATCAACCAATCACATGGCAGCGACTAAATGCATTTAGGCACGTAGACATGGTCAAGATGATCTGCTGCAGTTCAAACCGAGCATCAGAATGGGGAGGAAAGGGGATTTAAGTGACTTTGAACGTAGCATGGGGTTTTCAGAAATCTAGTAAGATTTTCACGCACAACCATCTCTAGGGTTTATAGAGAATGGTCTGAAATAGAGGAAATATCCAGTGAGCAGCAGTTCTGTGGGCGCAAATGCCTTGACCTCTTGATGCCAGAGGTCAGAGGAGAATGGCCAGACTGGTTCCAGCTGATAGAAAGGCAACAGTAAATCAAATAAGCACTCGCTACAACCGAGATCTGCAGAAGAGCATCTCTGAACACACAACACGGCCAACCTTGAGGCGGATGAGCTACAGCAGCAAAAGACCACACCGGGTGCCGCTCCTGTCAGCTAAGAACAGGAAACTGAGGCTACAATTCACACCGGCTCACCAAAACTGGACAATGAAACATTGGAGAAACGTTGCCTGCTCTGATGAGTTTCCATTTCTGCTGACACATTCAGATGGTCGGGTCAGAATTTGGCATCAACAATATGAAAGAATGGATCCATCCTGCCTTGTATCATTGGTTCAGGCTGGTGGTGGTGGTGTAATGGTGTGGGGGAGATTTTTTTGGCACACTTTGAGTCCATTAGTACCAATTAAGCATCGTGTCAACTCCACAGCCTACCTGAGTATTGTTGCTGACCATGTCCATCCCTTTATGAGCACAGTGTCTCCTTCTTCTGATGGCTACTTTCAGCAGGATAACCCGCCATGTCATGCGCACCCTGCGCGAATCATCTCAGACTGGTTTCTTGAACATGACAATGAGTTCACTGTACTCAAATGGCCTCCACAGTCACCAGATCTCAATCCAATAGAGCACCTTTGGGATGTGGTGGAACGGGAGATTGGCATCATGGATGTGCAGCCTACAAATCTGCAGCAACTGCGTGATGCTATCATGTCAATTTGGAGCAAAATCTCTGAGGAATATTTCCAGTATGTTGTTGAATCCATGCCATAAAGGATTAAGGCAGTTCTAAAGGCAAAAGGGGGTCCAACCCGGTACTAGTAAAGTGTACCTAATAAAGTGGCCGGTGAGGTTTTAAAATGCTTTCTATAGTTATTGCTTTATAACTTTACATTAGATCATAATGTTAGCGTTTAGCCCTAACTTGCAACTGCGTGAAAGAAATAAAGGCTTTATAACTTTACCTTAGTCTGTTAACATAATTCTAGCATTAGCGTTAACATGCAACACAGGACCATAGAAGGAAATAAAATAATGCTGGTGATTACATATAGCAGCCAGATGATCTTCAGCCAAACTGCCACTGTTTACCTCTCCAGGAAGTGATGCCTTATGGATTTTTTTTTTTAAAGGATACATCGATTACTACAATTTGAATCAGATAATTCGAATGAACGTTTTAGCTCTTGTTATTGTTTCCACTGGCCTCACTCTGGTCCCTTGGCTCTCAGCCTCGCCCTCACTTGTTTACTAAGCTGACCAATCACAGACCTTGTGCTTCAAGTCTTCATGATTTGTAGTTAAATGTTTTGAGAGATGCACATCAGGCTATGCCGTAGGGTATGTGACTGCAAACGTTTAGCCTCAACGCATAAATATACATCGGCCTTTAGGCTTGGTGCAATATTTTGTGTTACTACTATTAAGCCGCAACACCGGTTCTGTCACTTACATGTTGCTAGCCCGAATGGAGGACACAGCCCTGGGATATCAGGCTATTGACGTGGGTTTCTTTTTGTGAGGGCTAAAAATGAATTGCTTTTGCTTCACAAATAACACACAAAAGGTAGCTTACGTGTTCTTTGCTAAGTAGTGATTCAGTAGTGACTAATGCAGACGTAGACTATCATCTTTTTTTTTCTCCCTGTTGCCTCATTCATATTGTTGCTAAACTCTGAAGATTGGATCCTCGGAAAGAAGTATACTTGCAACTTATGTACAGGTCTCTGTATTTATCTATATCCACTTGAAATTACTGCGATTTAAATCGGTACAAATCACTAAAGATTTAAGGTTGTGCTACACATTAGGGCTGCACGATATTGGGCAAAAACTGACATTGTGATATTTAGCTTGTCTTCGATATATTGCAGTTAGCGCTGTTAAAATTAACGCGTTAACACATGCGATTAATTTTAAATAATTAACGCGTTAAAAAAAATTAACGCAGTTCAGGTTTTTTTTACTTCCTGTTGTGGTGGACGTGTGTTCAGCATGCAATAAATGTGGATAAGACCAAGGAAGCACTTTTTGAAGGCAAGTTCCAGTATAAAACAATTAGTTGCATGACAGGTTTTTCAGAGTTTCATGCAATTTTGGGTGTTTCATTTTTAACTTTCGACATCTGTTGTAAGTTGATACCGCATGGCGAACAGAAAGAAAATCCTCCATTTCGTGACTCGGTGTTCCTGTAAGGTAAGGTTCCTTTTAAGGCTACTCGGTAGAATTTTAATAAGAGTATTGTCTTAATCATATTAAAATCGGAGTATTGGTGTCTTATGTAAATGTACTCAGAACGTCTGGTGAAGTCGCGAGCTGTCAAAGGCGGCATTACTCTGCCTTTCAGCATGAGCCCTCCAAGTTTAGCGTGTTTCCTCATTAAACGCAATGAAAGCGTATGCTTCGCGTTGTTGTGTCAGAATCTTTGTGTAATACAGTAATACTTTAGGACGCTTAGCAAATTTGATGAACGTGATCATGCGTGTTGAATCTGAGGGGAGTCGCTCCAGTATGGAAGGCCGTTGGGGCCAAAACGTCTGCAGCGCATTGTGTGTGTGTCTGTGTGTGTAAGTCTTTGTCAGGCCCGTTGAGGGGTGTCAGGGGTGGAGTGAGCGACGTATCTGAGTAGGGGCGAGAGGGGTGTGCAATGTATTTAACGACCGGTTTGCAAGAAATTATCATTCATTTGTGGGCATTTGGGAGTCTCTGTGCACTTGCAGGATACTCCGAGTCTTAGCAACTGGATGAATGTAAAGGAGGATTAAGCAAAATTGTTTCTACTCTATAATTAATGTTCTCAACTCACAGCAATAAAACTTTACAATGAGTGCAACAGTTTGTATTCTATAGTTTATTATTATAATTTTTCATTTTCCATAATCTGTGTTACAAGTTAAACAAAAATTCTATTAAAAAATAATATTTTGAATTTAAATATTTTTTTCTTGCGTTTACATTAATTTTACATTTAAATAGGCAAAATTACAAGTTTCAGTATTTTTAATGCGATTAATCGCGATAAATTTTTTTTTAAAGGTGCGATTAATTAGTTAAATTTTTTTAATCGATTGACAGCACTAATTGCAATATGAATATAGTTTTACGAGATGACTCGGCCCACACGGAATCTGCGCGCTTGGAATTCCGCAGATTTTTAGCCCATCATTAATTCTATTTATTTACTTGTGTAAATGATTGTAAATCTATATTTATTCAGTTTTTTTTATTACATTAATATTATTGACTAATATGAAAATGTTCATCTGATTTATGTACAATGTAGTTTGTACAGTAATATTTTCTGCCTTTTAGTAGAGATTATATGAGAGTAGGGATGTAACGGTATCAGAATTTCACGGTACGATAGTACCTCGGTATGAATGGCACGGTACGGTATTTATTGAATAATTTACAGGAAAAACAAAACTTATGAAAATACTAGAAAAAAGTGCCAAAAGTGTTATTTACCTTAGCACTGAAAATATCAATGACATACAAATTAGCTATCTATCTGTACTAGGGGTGTCACGATTTCGATTTTTTTATCGAAATCGATCGAAATTTATGCTCAATTTCGATTATCGAATCAAAAAATAGAATCGTCGATGCTGCCACGCCCCCATGTCACGTCAGCTTGGCTTGCCAAGCGGGAAAATAACAGGCTTGTTGAAGTGCTTGTTAAACTGCAGAAGCAGGAGACCCGTCGACAGAACTTGCAACTCTACCAATGAAGTCGCCGGTGTGGAAGCATTTTGGATTTCCAGTGAGTTATGTTGACAACGTTCGTGTTGTCAACAAAAAAAACACAGTTTTGCAAGCTCTGCTATGTACGTATTACGTACGGTTCGTCCGATAGACAACACCGGCATTGTGATCCTCCGCCCACCCCCGTTGCAAATCCGCTGGCGAAAAGTACACACTCAGGCCCTGTTTACACTGTCTTTGTTTTTAAATGGCATTTTAGAACGACAACGATTTGACATCCACAGTGGCGTGTAGCATTTCTGAGCAGCCCTCCTTCCTCTCTACCTCTGA